TATGGGTGTGTGTTTATGTGTGTGTGTGTATGTGTGTGTGGAAAGGGAGACATCTTTGGAACCCTTTCAAGTATTCCCCTATAGGCATAAGACAGCTAAGGTATTCTTTCGGGTGGTTGGCGAAAGCCACAAGACAGGGTCCTTCTTCTTTTCTCTTCCTTTTTTGTTTCTCTCTGCCAATCTGTCTTACTTTTTCCCCTGTTCTAAATAACCGTTATGGTGTCAATGTGGTGTCATTAGATGTAGGAGGGCTGCTTTTTTCTTCTCTTCTGACAACAAACACAAAATCCCCCCCCCCCAACCGTTTCCTCCCCCATCCACCCACACATACCGCACACCTGCCCAAGTACATGTAGTTTGGAGTTTTATTTTCTTCTCATTTCAGGGTACATCTGCTGGTGGGTCAACCCAGTGATGCATGCGTGGTGTTGGTCAAGTAAGGGCATAATTCTGCTTGACCAGAGACAGCGCTTGAAGAGAAACCCAGCCTGTACTGACCACAGGACAGCTGGACACGTGTGACACGCCTCACTGCATCCACGTGTGTGTCTGGGCCCTTTCTCTGGTTGTCATTATATTATATAAGTTAGTTGCAGACTCGCATGCAAACGATAGTAACTAAATATACGTCCTTCCCACCTCAACACACTTTTCCTAATCCAATCCTCTTCCCTCCCTGCCCCTGATCTTCTGTTCTCAGCCCTCTTCCTTCCTTCAATCGTTTCCCTTCTCATCCCTTTCGCTTCCTACGTAACCCTCTTCCCTCCCCATCCTTCTCTCTTTCTGTTCCCTCTTTCCTCTTCATCCATCTTTCCATCCCCCCCCCCTCCCTCCCTCCCACTCCTTAAGATTCTCTTTAAAAATATGAAGCGTAACAAGAGGACTAAAAAAGTAATTTTATTTTCATGTTCAACATTTTCACCATATACATTTATTTAAAATCTGAATGAAAAAAAAAGATCCAAAACGACTGCCATTCAATTAATCAATGCATTTCTCTCGCTCACCCTCTCTCTTTTTCTCTTTGTCTCCCCTTCTCTCTCTCTCTCTCTCTCTCTCTCTCTCTCTCTCTCTTTCTCT